ACCTTCGACTTCCAGGACAGTTCGTGGATCCTTCATCCTCTTCGATGGACATGGATCTAACCTTCTACACGAACAGGCTTACAAACGCAATGCGTTCAGTTAAATCTGTTTCCACTCGACCACAATCAACTGATGTTTTCGTTCAACCTGACATACGACATAGTACACACGTCTTCGTACGTAGAGACTCGCATCGACGACCTCTCGAATCAAAATATGAAGGACCTTTCAAAGTTCTTCAACGCGAATCTAAGCACTATATAATCGATAAGAGCGGAACCAACGAAAGCATCAGCATCGATCGCCTCAAAGCAGCGTATTTAGAAGGAAATCCTATTCACGTCGATTTTCCCTCAATACAATCGCACGACACAACTCCTGCCCTTATAATACCTTAATCGACAGCCGACACACACGTTGATACTTCGGCGGTATCCGAAAATAAACTCAAAACAACGCGCTTCGGAAGAAGAGTAAGATTTCCAGAACATTTGAACGATTACTGCACGTAAGACACATGATTATATTTTATATCCTCTAGATTTTCCTTTGTACAATATATAATTTCTTTTCGTAAAAAAAACCCGAATATAATTTGCTTATATATTTTTTTTGTTATTTATTTCAAAAAAGAAGAAATAAAAAAATAACAATATTATAAAAATACTTTTTTTACGCTATTACGTGAACATGAATTTATTTTCCTTTTTTACGCTCGTTTTGTGTTTTCCCGCGCGTACGAGTGTATTCCGACATGCACTTACATATTTTTCTTTTCTTTTCCAGGACGGCTGGAGAAGGCGATAAAAAGAACGATGAAGTTTCAAGAAACGAAAATCTTCATTGTACCTTTTTTTACTATATTGTACATCATGGTCACTTATAGTAAGGAAAGACGACCAGACGCTGCTAAACCTAGCAAGCTATCAGAAGAGTGTTTGCCAACGAAAAACTCGTTGTTTTAAACTTCTGGCTGGCCACGTCTTAGGGGTATCACCACCCCACTAGAGGGGAAGTGATCAGTAGCGGTAAACAATTCCCGAAAATTAAATAGCTCTGTAAGTTTTCGACATTGGATGCCGACCACAGTTTTAGTGGACTCATCTAGCTGAAGGCGCTCGGTCAAGCATCCGCTTCAGATCACGTGTGGAAACGCCGTGCTCAACATCTGCCGCAATCGCTAGCCAGATTAGTGCATACGATCCTCGATATATTGACAGCTTATCAAATATATCTTCGATCTCCTCGCTTCTGTCTTTTGATTTTACTTGGTGGCTGCGCTCCATATTAGAAGGTGTAACTGGATAAAGCGTTGTCCAACTCCAAATACCCGGTATCTTCACGCCTTATATTAAACTGCAACTAGCTTGTATACACCATCAGCCGGTAGGTATAAATGTAAATAAATGGTCTGTGCCAACGGAGAACATTGGTTTACAAGGTGTCTTTTATGTTCAACAATTTGTTCTTAGCTCTCTGTCCGAAATTCACAAATCACTTTTTGCGTATTTAAATTTTTTTGATAACCATTCATATGTAATAGTAGTACTACTAAATTCTATCACGGTCAAGTAAAAATGAGGTCGAGAAAATCTCCCCATAACTAAATAAGCCGTACCAGACTAACTAGAACACTAGTTGAAATTCTTCTCCATGGTAACACTTTTGTTCATTCAATTACCCTACTAGTACAGATGCAATTGGAAATCAACTCATACGGACAGCTTACTGACATAAACATTATTTGATTTCATAATTTAAACCAAAACTAATACCAATATTAAGACGTCTGCAATATTGATTGCTTTTAATATTTCTAGACACAAAATACTTACTACCAATAAGTTAAGTTATTATCGAAGGCTATTAACACGCATCTCACATTTTATTATTATTATTGTAATCCCACTTTTCATAGCCAAAATAATGACCAAAATATTCATTTTGAGCGTGTTAAGCATGCAATCAGATATGTTAAAATTATTACATGTATTTCCCGACCAGATGCTGCCGCCTTTTCGATTTTTATTTCGGCTTATCAATACTTGGATGATTCTTACTATTCTTGGTAAAATCCGGCGCGTGACAATCCCACTCAAATTGGTATCGAACCAACGTCACGTTGACTCCGGTGAGAGAGTAGTGTAGTGACATTGGGCCCTTACACGAGACAATATGGAAAATAGACATTCAACATTTAACGCTGGGAAATACTCAACAATGGAGAAGGCGTGAACGGGGAATTGAATTAATCGGAGTTGATCGGATGGTATGGCTCGGCCATGCAGGCGTGGTCCCTACTGAATGTTACCTTATATCTTTCAGTCATATTAAATATATTGTCCTATCTCTAGCCTAAGCTTGTTCTTCATCATTTATTGGTAATTGTTACAGTGCAGTGAGTTGGTGTAGACGATTATGTGACTTCCACGTGAGATCTTGTAGATTTGACAGTTATATCATAACAAATCTACAATTTTAGGATTAGTTCTATTATAAGAGCAGTACTATTATCATAGTAGACCATAATTCTACAGTTTTTCAAAAGAACGGCTATCCAATCAACTTCATCAAAAAATACCAACCACATGCAGCATCAGAGCCCAAATCAAGCACAGAAATCAACAAACGGATCACCCTACCATACATAAATGGCATATCAGAAACCGCAACAAGACTGCTTAAAACCTTCGGGATAGGTGTGGCACACAAACCGACAAAATCACTACAGTCAATCCTATGCAAACCAAAGGATGAAATAACAAAAGAAGATAAATCAAACATCATCTACAAAATAAATTGTGTGAACTGCGACAAACACTACATCGGACAAAGCGGACGCCCCCTTCACCTGCGCCTACATGAACATCAATTAGCAGTCAAACGGCATGATATCTCCTCACTTATATCAATACACGTGGACAACTGCGGACACACATTCGATTGGAAAAATGTGGAAATCTTGGACAGAGGAAATTCCAAAACACAAGAATTTTTAGAAGCTTGGCACTCAGGTCAATCAGCAATCAACAAACATATTGAAATCGATCCGATTTATCAACCAATCAGGAAACTTATGCACAAATATAGGAACAAGAATCAAACCAATAGGAGACAAAACCAAGACAAAAAAGTAAACAATGACAAATTTAAGGTCAATAAGAACCAATCAACATCGAGGTGTACAGAACAAGCTGTGAAACGCATATGGAGAAATTCGAACACTTCACTTCTATCTAGAGTTTGTGCTGATGATGTCGTTCAGAAGAACGATGAAAGCTCCCCGACCAAACCATCCACGTCAGAGAACAAAAATCCATTAAAAAGGCTAGATTTCGTAAGCATGGTTCGGGTATAGACCAAATCTCAACACTACGGATAATTGTGGAAAAATCATTTGAATGGGATTCATCACTCTTCGTCAATTTATTGACTACGGGAATGCATTTGATAGTGAGGAATGGATAACACTTTGAAGTCTTCATCGACACTATGGAAAGCCTGAGAAGACAGTCAGTATCACATGAAATTCCCAAGATGGATTTGTAGAATTATAATCTAATTCGTTGTGAGTACTGCTATAAAAATAGACCTAATCCCAAAATTGTAGATTTGTCATTGATGTAACTGCCCAATCTATAAGATCTTACATGGAAGTCACATCACTTTCTACACCAAATCATTGCACCGTAACAGCCATCAATACATGATGGATAACAAGCTCAGGGTATAGATAGAACAATATATTCAGTATGAATAAAAGATAACTTTCAATTGGGGCCACGCCTGCAACGCCGAGCCATGCCATCCGACCAGTTGGAATTTCTTCAACTGACTGTTCCCGTGTCCTCCATCGTTGGGCTTTCTTCTCCGCCCTAAATGTTGAACATCTATTTTCTCACGTATTTCTTGTTCGGCTTTTAGGATTGTGTGATTACAGCCCAATGACACTACAGACTCAACTGCAAAATAGCACATGGAGGACAGCTGATAGACTCGTTCGAAGTAAAGACCAGTGTCAGGCAAGGTTTCATACTCTCACCCTTTCTCTTTCTACTGGTGATCGACTGGATAATAAAGACTTCAACATCTGAGTGGAAGCGTTGGATATAATTGACGAATAGAATGCAGCTGGACAATCTAGACTTCGCAGGTGATCTAGCTCTTCTATCGCACATGCAACAATAAATAATGGGAGAAGACAACCAGTGTATCAGCAGTCTTAGCAGCAGTAGATCTCAACATACACAAAGGGAAAAGAAATATTCTCCGATACAACACAACATGCACCAGTCGAATCACACCTGACGGAGAAGATTTGGAAGATGTAAAGCCCTTTACATATATGGTCAGCATCACTGAAGAACACAGTGGTTCTGGGGATCAAAGAATGTATTACGCCGAATAATGGAGACAGACATGAGAAAAATAAGCAACAATCGGATAGAACTAGAAAGGAAGGCCCAGGACAGAGTGGGTTGTAGAATGCTGATCGGCGGCCTGTGCTCCAGTGGGAGTAATAGGCGTAAGTAAGTAAGTACTGGATGGTCTATGTTCGATTCATTTTTTTTATAAATCAACATGATTATCATTACTGCATGACTATTGACTACATACTACGTCTCTAATCATCATCACCGTTTCTACTTTCTATTTTTCAAACACGTAAAGTTACGGCACAGGAAAACCGTTAGAGCCGTTCGAAGCTGCCCGCGCTTTCGTTTCAACGACCTTGAACCGCCTGACAAGAGGAGGTTATTCCGCAATTCAATTGCCGTGGATTTGAGCACAGTAAGGCAGTTAGCCATGGGTTTTCGTGCACATGTAACATGTAACATAATGTAACAACGCAAGGAGTCATGGGATTATGGGAATGAGTAGGGCGTGACAGTCCAAAGTCCGCTATTTTGACAAGACCCTTGTCATTCATTAACAGGTTGGAGACTTTCAAGTCCCTGTGAATGATAAAGTTTTCATGAAGGTATCTCAGACCTTTAAAAATCTGAAGCATGATACATTTAACCTACAGTGCAAATTAGGAATTTAACCACATGTTACTTGAGACTCGGTGAAAGGATTAGGCATGTTATCAAGTAAACTTGCCATATCCTGTTCACAATACTCCATAACAAGGAAGATGCTGAAAATGATCGATACCACTAGAACATACCTATCCAAGCTCCTCCCAACGACGACTTCTCTCAAGTGAACAACATTTGGGTGCTTTATACTTAGCAACAAAGTGATTTCGCGTAAACTGCTAATAGGGATACCTGTTGAACTTAACTCAAGAGTGAGGAGAACTTGCCATCTCGAACATTTTCCATTCGAACTTTCTTCAGAGCCACCACCTCTTTTGATACAGTATCACGAGCACGGTCTAATTTATTAGCTAAATTTTCATACTTACAGACAATACCATATGTCCCTTCACCGATGCGGTTTAGCTTTTCAAATTCAGCAACACTACGACATCTACCCTCCTAAAAGATGTCATACTGCTTGCAAGCTTACTCTAAATTCAGGTGGTATCTTAAAGTATGAAAGTCTCTTGACACTGAAAATTCTGAAATCCCTCGAATCTGAATCAGATTCACGAGCAGCAGACCGTGTAGCACACATGTTACAACTAGCGCTCCAAACTCCAATTCCCAATATCTTTCCACAAGCTTCTGTTAATTAATTGAGTTCTTTTTGCTTTCTTATTATTATTTCGGTACCGTTCCATGTATTTGGCAGTATTCTATTGTGATAGCCTAGTTAGTTGACAGGACTAATTCTAGTCAGTGTGGTAGTTATTTGTGAATTGTATATCATTTAGGTACACCAAGTTCACAACCATGAGTTTGACAATCTTGAGGAATCTATATGGTGCTCTGTGAGATTATCCACTACTTCGAGGTGCCTAGTCGGAGTCATATATAGGAAGCCCACTGCTGACATCGAATATCACAGTCGCATGCTGGAAGGACTATCCCGCTCTACGCGTCTCGGTTTCACTCATATCCTGATTCTAGGGGACTTCAATCTCCCTAGAGTCAACTTCGCAGAACATACGTATATTGGAGGTGAAAATTCAATCGAAGCTCGGTTCTTCAGCCTCATTGAGTATTTGGGACAACACGAAAATGTGAAGTCGGCTACTCGTTGGAGGAACAGTCAGATACCGTCTCGCTCAGACTGTGTTTTTACAAATGAAGAATTTCTAGTAGACAACCTCTCACTTCTGGCTCCCCTTGGGAAAAGCCTTCAGTTTTGTCAACAAAACTGAGCTAAGATATCCCAACAACAACAGGCGCTGGAATTTCAAACGGTTGAATGTGTCAGCTCTACAGGACTATCTACAACAGATGGATTGGGATGTTCACCCTCAACTCGATCTGGGTGCTCACTGGAACTTCCTACTACACACGCTCTTATGTGCTACAAAGCAGTCAGTCCCTCAAATGGTCCTCAAAATCTACATGCAACCTACAATCATCAAAAACCGCACTCTTCGTTTGTTAAGCCGTAAAAGGTACTGTTGGGCAGAATACAAACGAACTGACAACAACAGAGAGCACATGCAATACAAACATATAAGGAACATATGCATGAAGCTTATGGATAAATTTATTTCCAATCCCAGAAGCTTATTCCGTTACACAGCCTCTCTTCGTCAAGCCAAAACTGGAGTTTCTCAACTGCTATGTCCTAACGGCCCGACCGATAATGACGGCTATGCCGCTAACCTTCTGGCTGAGCAATACTCCCGGACATTTCAACCGACCCACATCAACTATACTGATGACGGCTCTATCTACAACTGCACAGGACTTTCCGTAGTGAAACTGAGCGCTGACTTGGTACTCCGAAAACTACGGCACATAAGAACAGACACTTCTCCTGGTACAGATATGGCCCACTCTGCTATACTGAGGGAAGCAGATTCAATCCTGGCAACACCGCTTAGCGTGATGTTCTCACACACGCTAAGTCGAGGCAAACTACTGGATATTTGGAAGCTGGCTCATATCACACCAATCTTCACAGCGAACCTTCAAGTTACCGACCGGTGACTCTTCTCTCTATACCTTCAAATATCATGGAGTCCCTGGTATACGATGGCATACACGACTATCTGCTGTCCTTAAATTTCTTCTCACCCCAACAGCATGGTTTCAGGAAGGGTTACTCATGTTTGACGAACCTGCTGACTGCGGTGGACAGAAGGACAAGCATCGTTGATCGCAAGGGGAAGTTGGACATCATTTACCTTGATTTCTCTAAAGCTTTTGATAGGGTTAACCACATATGTCTTATCAACAGGCTCAAACAATTGGGTATCAAACCACCCTTAATTGACTGGCTCAGTTCACATCTGACAAATCGACATTTTAAGGTCAGGGTAAACTTCATTTTCTCACTCGCTATGTAATGTTCCAGTGGGGTCCTCCAGGGCTCAGTACTAGGACCTCTTCTCTTCCTGATTTATGTAAATGATCTTCCCCAACAGGTGACGTCAGACATATTGTTCTTTGCCGATGACGTGAAACTTTGGAGAGAGATACGCAACCAAGAGGATATACAGGCACTTCAGGAGGATCTGACTCGAATTCAACGTTGGGCAGACGATAACGGACTTAACTTTAACACCTCAAAGTGCAAAGTAGTCCATCTGCGACACATCGCAGATTAAAGTTACAACTAATGAAACTCCTCTCTAGTAGTATCCCGATTCGAATAAGATTTAGGAGTCCCGGTGCCCTACGACTTAAGGTCTTACGCTAACTGTGACAGAACTGCCTTTCGAGCAAACCTTGCACTGGTAACATTGAAGTGCATTTTTGGTCAGTTTGACGAGAGAACTTTCCACATAACCTTCAATAGTTTTACTCGTCCCTATTTAGGGTACGGAAACATAGTATTCCCTCCTACACTCCAGAAGGATAAGGACACTCTGGAGCGTATCCAACGGCGAGCCACGACTCAAATTTAAACCTTATGATGAGCGCCTCCAATCACTCGACCTTTACCCAATAGAGTATAGACGCCTTAGAGGTGACCTTCTAATGGCTTATAGTATCCTTAACACTCCTGGACATCCTCTTAAACACCTACTTAAGCTCAGTCCTAACACTAACCTAAGGAGTAACACCCAGAAATTAGAGATACAACATAGTAGAACGGACTGCAGGCATAACTTCTACTCCTTAAGAGTTGTCAAATGCTGAAATTCGCTGCCAGCTGAGCTAGTCCGAGCAACTTCTCAAGAGTCCTTCAAGAGGCGACTCGATCTATTCTTAAGGACTAAGGATAGTATCCTACTATGATTTACCAATTCATTGTTTTTTCTCTTTTATCGTTAATATACCAAGGTTCTTGCCTGGAGGTATTGGTGATCCCCTGCTACTAGACACGGAAGCCTGTTAAGCGAAAGCTTCTTCTATTCCGTCCACAACCATTTGAACAATTTGAATTTGAACTAACTAATATACTAAATTGATGATGTGTAAAATTAGACACAGGCTGTTAGGCCATGGGTTTTCGTGCACATGTAACATATTGTCGTGGATTTTTGTGTCGTTATTTATCGGCTATTAGCAGCCTTTTTTCCATCACACACCAATTTTCGTAATGTTTGCACTTGTTACATAGTTTTTATTCCAATTTATTAGCAGTTTGACGTATTTTTTGCTCACCAGCTAAGTGAATCTTTAGTAGGCCTAATATGGTTATTTGTAACAATACAAGCTCAAGCAAGTACGATTCACCATTTTTCAAGTCATAAAATAGGTCACAGATTGAGTTTTCAGGAAAATAAGCTTTGAAACCTATAACATAAGGTTCACCTCCTTGATTATGGTGATGATGAACATGGATGTTGGTAGTTGTTTATAAAATGTAGGTACAAGCAGTTCAGCGTTAATCCATTTATGAATATTATATAACTTGTTAATATTTAGCCATAAACAGTTATACCCATATCAGTGTCATCGTTTTGTACTGAAGTGACATATTATTATGTAACGCATTTGAGAAGAATTATATGAGTAACAATTGACGTTGATAGTTATTTCTATCCGCTTTCTGAACGTATACAGGAACAGTATATAACACCACTGGAAGTGCCGCATTCAGTAGTCACAAAGTCTCCATAAGTAAAACGATGTGTGTTTCTTTTGAGCATGGTGACAAAACCATCTCGTAGTTAATACTGATTTATGATGTGCCTGTTATAGGGTTCACGAATAAGTTTCTGTAAACAAAATCCGCCATCACTGACCAAATTATGAACAAAGTTATTATGCATATTGTCGAGTAATATCCAAATGGTGCTTACCAATTTATATAATATTTAGTGGCCCCAGATCTGACTCCAATTTGATCGTATGAATGATTGCTATCGCCTATCCTCGTATACAATCATTGACTTAAATCGCCTTAGTTAATAACGGAATTAAATAAGTCAAATAACGAGAATGGAGTTTTGAATGCATATATTTTGTATAATTGTTGATTAGACAAACGAACGGAGGAACGATGCGAAGATGAGAAAGCGAAGCTAAATTGGCACGCGGTGGAGATGGCTGGTAAGCCAATTCCCTCTAACAAAGAGCTAATCAACATTTATAAGCCCACAAAAATAAATTAAAGACATGTGATGAGTAACGGGATAAGAGGTGTACATACGCCTACGCGCTCATACAAAGACAGTTAAGATATTGGTAAGCGAATAATTAACAAGGTCAGAATTTGACTCAAATAGAATGAATAGAATGGGCTGTCCGAAAGTTGGAATATAAGGGATTTAGCCTTAACATAATGACAGACACTACAAATAATACCAAATGTCTAGTTGAAATACTAGAAGGGTTAGAAACTGAAGAGCGCTGTTTACAAAAAATAAGAATCTTATAGGTTAGTCATCACGTGTTATTGGAGTCAATTATATAGTGAAATCAGAGTTTTAAGACAATATGAGCAGTGACAATATTAACATTTCATTTAAATCATAAACGTGGTATAAACAAATGTCATATGACTGTGAAGCGTTCACAGTTATATGATGTGATGTAAATGTTCCGCAGATTACAGATGAATTTCTGTTAACGGAATCCGAAATCTGTGATGAATAACATTGTTTGCAAATAAGAGACAGGTACATTTTTTTACCTGCTATTTGATTAACATATTGAATGTGATACTACTAACTAAGTTTAATTGTTTGATTCAAGACTGATTTTTTTGTATGCTTATTAATTTGCAACTCCGCTGGAGTCCCTCCGGGGGCTACTGCTGGCCCCAAGCCCGCATAAATGAGGAGGGTTGGGCATGGGGTTAGCGACCCCATCCCGTAGAAAACTAACTCGCTAAAAGAGCGCTAGCCAGAAAAAAATTATTCAAACCATTTAAACTCTGCCCTAGGAGTCAGGAGGTCTTCGTTTAGAAGAATTATGACGCCTCATGATGAAAGCCGAGTTTCTTCGGAAGTCACGAGGCCGAAGCCCCTTCTGACAACCAGCAACCATTTATTTAGGTACATGGAATGCTCGCACAATGTGGGAGACTGGGAGAGTTTTCCAAATTGCTGCAGAAACGAGGAGATACAATTTAGAGGTGCTTGGGATCAGTGAAACACATTGGACGCAAGTTGGACAACAACG